CGCTGGCCACCCGAACATTCTCCACCACCGTCCACACGTTTATTATGGTTTCCATACTTGTGCAGTTCCAGTTCTTCAGCTCGACTACATCACCAAACGTCCAATTCCAATTTTCACTTAGACCGTTAATTTTGACGGCTTTCCCGAACGAAACAAACGAAAAAATTCAGACGCGGTTATCTGAAAAGAATTATTCGAAACTTATTCCGATTTCCGCGACTTTAGAACCGAAGACACAAGTGTCCACCACGAATGACGAACGCTCACTGGTTCGAAAATCGACTCGACCGATATGTTATTCCTCAAGAGTAATCGATGTGACCCGAGTGGTGTGCGAAGTGAAGTCTCATGCGTGATAGATAACAACACTACCAACACTACTCACTGTTATCGAATCATAATTAGTACGACCTAATTGGTGATCGATAAAGCAGCTGGTGGAAGGAACAAAGTTCATAATCGAATTGGAAACGCGTATGTCCAGTGGGCAGGCCGCACGAGGCATGTGTAACCTGAATACGGAATACTCGAGAGCAAACGTTTGCAAATACCATTTCTCCGAGCCATGACCAAATCAGTGGCCATTGGCCATTGGAGTTAGCCGACGATTTTGTAGTGTTTGGCTTGAATAATAATGAGCTTGTTCGCCTGTTGTATCCTTTGTTTCGATTATTTTCAACAAAGCTATTTGTATTATGCGTCTCTTGTATGGCCTTTGTTGTGTGGTTTTACACAAGGAAAGACACAAAGAATTTTCAAAACAGATGGTTATGTTTGAGTTTGTGTTCGATAATTTTTGCATTTGATTAGATTGTGCGATAAATCAGAGAGCAACCTAATCGTATTTTGATATTTATAATATCGTATTATAATAATTATTAGTGTCAATACGAGTGATTGTAGGATAACCAACGCTAAATTACTCAATGTTCAAGATCAGCGTGTACCTGAGAAAATTGTGAACTACAACAATATCAATATTGACAGAAGCAGGATACATACTAACAATTATGAGAGTTTTTCTGTAGTGGACGTTAGAGCACGCAAAGTGAATTGTTTATAAGCAATGCGGAGGAAGGAAGATCAAGGTACTGATGGGAGCCAATGGTACCATTGAAACGAATGGAAGAAACAGCATTGATACTAAACGCAAAGGTTTTTGACCACACATGTGACAATAATGATAATACGAGTAATTATGGACTAAGAGTATCTTTAGTTTATAAAACAAGAACAGAAACAAGGGGGTGTGTCCGTGTGTATCAACAGAGGATGCATTATGGTCCAAACACTATCGATCTGTTGGGTTTATCTAGCAGTGTTGACATTACATCACGCGGTGGCATGCGCGAACGCACGCGCGCGAAACAAGTTAAAAGGTGAACTTTGACATTGGGTGGCGTGATCGCACAATGTCAATGGTATACGTAGGTAACTTTGCTCTGAAATCTAATTTGTGTAAAAAGCAACCGTTACTGGCTGATCTATTAACTGACGGGACAAACTTGGGTTTTTATTGGCGGTCAAGCTGTAGATACTGGCTACACAGTAGTTGCAGCGGTAGGAACGAGAGGTGAGAATGGTGAATAGTCCCGTGATCTATCAACGGAACCACTGAACGGATTGTGCTGATATTTAGCACACATATAGTTATCTTTGTTTACCCTTAGTGCTAGAGGGAATGAAACTGAGATCCAAAGTTAAAACGATGTGTTGAATTTTGCATACGAAATCAAATTCTAATGTTTCGAAATTACGGCTTACGTATCATATTCATTTCATTTGCATAATAATAAATACGAGTACCAAAAACGATTCCGAACTGCGAATGCAAAGTAAATTCAAAGCAATCAATATTTTAATCAATCACTTTACTCTTTAGTCATGAAATGTAAATGCGACTCAGACTTTATGGTAATTCGTATTGCTCCAATACTTATACCGGACGTGTCGTCAAAAACAAAGGTACTGAAGACACTTGAAATAAAATTGGTAGAAAATACAATTGAATCGAAAAATTTTATCTGTGAATCGAATTATTTGTGGGCCAATACCTGATTAGCATAGGTACACTAATTTCGAGTGAAGCAACGTGGCACTTACACCTACTATACTGTCATTGTAAGCAAATTAGACAATACTAATTAATAATGCCTGAACGCAATTTAATTGTTTATTTAAACACAGTGACAGAAAGCGTGATCAAAAAGATGGCCGACGATCGAGACGGTAGATAAAAATCCACTTGTTTTAATAACTAAAGAAGCTACAATCTGCTACAATATTGGCACGATTTTTGATAACCAAAAACAACGAAACCACGTTCCTTATCAATTGGCATATCAATAAAACAGTTACAAAAATGTATTCATAAATTTACAAACAAAATGTTACAGGAAAACCGAATAGAGGTAGACCAATCCCAGCATTGCAATCGCTAAAAAGTGCTTAATTATTTCGAACAATGTCGTTATTATACGCCGTTGATTACCTGACATGATAAATAAAAAATATTAAAACTCGATAAAAATACAATCAAAAGCTTGTGGGCAACTGCTTTCGATTAAAAAGACCGAACCGAAGCGTACTACATACTAGTACATACCTATTATTAATGTTAAATAACGAATACAGTCTGCTGATAATAATTTTAGACTTTGAATTTGATTTTAATCTAGCTTTGGACGACATACCTAATTTGAAATGTTTATTATCCGTTGTCTGGAACCCATAGTACAGTACAGCTTTGCTTAGTTTGGGACTAGATGACGTTTTGTAAAATGTCCAAGGATATTTATTTATTGTTCTTTTTCCGTTTCAAAAGTCAGTCAGTCTTTTTCCGTTTCAGATGTAGCAGCTACGCAAATACTCGCTTAAAACATGTGTTCCTTTTTATGATAATGAAATACAATGAAGTTTTAAGAGTTATTTTTATGTCCATTCTAAGCAAACTCGTTTCCGTCCATGTTTTAAAAATTGTACATTTTGACTAAGATTTACGTTTGTCGGACTGCCGTTAGATGAAAGTTACCCATTTCTGTATGGCTTGCGTTTACAACCGTAAAATGAAGACAATTAAATAATTGAGGCTCCAACCTGTATAATCACACAACTACAACACTTCTCAAGTTTTTTGACTAACTTAATTGACAAAAACGAGCACATTTTAGTTTTTATCGTTGCAAAACTACAACAATGTCGATTCACAAATAAGTGTTTAGGTGTGAATATTAATCTCAAGACATGTGTTAAAGTCAAACACAAGTAGCACAAGCCAAGTATTCCGGCTCTTTTTGCCACGTCTAAAACCTTAAATCTTTAGAAAACAGTTCAATATTAACAATCAAGTTAATATTTAACTGTTTTGAATGATGGTTTTTGCTCTAAGCATAGAGCATCCAGATTCAAAGCATCAAAGTGTAGTTTCAAGGAAGTTTAAAGTCTCCTAAGCTGATACAAATCACCAGATAAGAAAATGTTGATAGCATAATCATGATCAGGGTTTTGCGAGGNTTGCGAGACGATATGCATTTTATATTATTAGACAATATCAATGGTTTTGATAACACTTCAGCTGCAGCTGGAAGATTTAGATTATCTGACCATTGATTAGACGATGTTGTGCAAATTCAAAGTTATGATTCTAAATGAAGTTTTGCAATGCAGTGGGGATGGGAACAATTAAAATTGCACTCATCGTTGCTCAGTACCCACGTAACGAGTGGCATTCATCGCTGTATGAGCGCGAAAACTCTACTCCACGCATACATTGCACTGAGTGGCATACATAATAAACCACAGGTTAAGTATTCGCATCGCATGGACATTAGCAAGCATGAAGAAACTAAATAGTAACCGCCTTACATGTTTACACTCTATTTCTCATTCACATTTCGTTTCCATTGTAAATTATATACGTCATAAGCCACATAAAGTTTACAAGACCGTGAATATTAGTGTTGTTAATACAGCAAACGTCACACGCTAGGGTGATGGAGTGCTGGCAGTTACTCTATCAAATGACATAGGGGTCCGCCAACTAGTCAATTTAATAAACAATTTTCGTGTCACACATCGTGAATCGGTTCTGAAAGTGAAATCGGCGCGAATGGTTTTCGTTATAGATGAGTTGAACGCTTACCACTATTATTTGATAACACTAGCGGAATACACTGTGGAATGTGGGTATTGAAATGCACTTGGGAGCGAGTTTATGGGGTGATGTGTTTTATATAACATCGGCGCGTGAGTCGCGGTGCGCTCTGCTTTGACGTCGGCGCGGGCGCAGAAGCGACGCTAAACTGAGCCGGATTGCTGTGTTGGTGGCCACGCATGCGTGCACCCTATTACAGTAATGCCAGCGATCGACGCGTAAGAAATGGGGAATCGATTCTGACCCTCAATGTTGATGTAAATTACCAACTTAATATACTCTACCGATGAATTTCAATTGAACTTGCTAAACTTGTACTTTGTTCTCTGAAAATTTTAACGGATTGACGCGTAAGAAATGGGGAATCGACAGACTGACCCTCAGTGTTAATGTAAATTACCAACTAAACACTGCTCTACCAATGAATTTCAATTGAACGGGCAAAACTTGTACTTTATTCAATGAAAATAATGGATCGACGAGTAAGAAATGGGAAATTGACAGAATGATCCTCAGTGTTAATGTAATTACCAACTTAATGCTTTGCTCTACCAATGAATTTCAATTGAACGGGCAAAACTTGTTCTTTGTTCTATGAAAATTTAAAATTTTAATGGATCAACGCGTAAGAAATGGGGAATCGACTGACTGATCCTCAGTGTCAATGTAATTACCAACTTAATGCTTTGCTCTATGAATGAATTTCAATTGACAAAACTTGTACTTTGGTCTGTGAAAATTTCACTGGAATGGCATTTTGTTATGTGAACAACTTAACAACTTCAGAGTCCTGTTTGAACCAAGATTTGTCTTAAGATGTTAAAATTCAAGATGCTTATTTATTTATTTTATTTTAGCTTACATACAGTCCATTACAGGCTTACAGCTTGAGCTTGGTTCTCCTCCAGTGACGCCTCTTAGCATTGTACCGAATAGTATTTCCTGTGCGCATTCTCCCCCATTGGGGAATTATGATAAAGCAGAGAAGATATCACTAACGGATGTCAATGTTTACAGTAAATAACCTGAAGAAGCTTCAACACACAACACGTGCGACACTAATTGAATGATTCAGTGATTTGGCAAACATTATGTTTTAATGTCTCGTTGATTTCAGAGAAAATGCTTCAAACAAAATTTTCCGTTCGCACATCACTTAACATTATATTGAGAATTTGGTTCATCACCTTATCGCTTATAGCGTAATATCATGTTTCTAACTGACTACACAATTACCTAGCTTTTTGTATCGTAGAGATGATTTATGATACCAAAAAAAATTGGATCTGAACTGGTCTTATCTAGTTTAGTTTAATGGGTCCAATTAATATTAAAATATAGGCTGTAGGTCCAAATATTGCTATAGATAAAGTCGTAAATATGTTGAACTGTGATGAAATCCCTGGTGACAATTTTAGTGTACCTATTTTCTTTAGATAGAGAAACAGATTACAATTATTTATTTAATCGAAAAGAGTAAGAAAATAACTCTGGTTATCAGATATAACTTAGCTAAATAAAGTTACAACCTACACGATAGAAAAGATCACATTCAAGTGTTGGTAACGAAGATCAACTATTTTAAATTCAGCCTAAAACAATTCATAAATTAAGGCTTAAACAAAAAGTTCCTTTACCAAATTATCATAAGTGCCGGAATACAGCAGAAGGACAACCGCTAAAGGCAACTTTAGTCGCTAGTTTTTAGTTTGTTAAAGTTGTCCTTATTTAGCATAGGACTACAAATAAATTAGACACAGAGGTCATCAAAACTAAAAAGATATCTCTAGACCACTAGACGCAAATAGATCGAAAAACTAAAAATAAAGGCGAAAAAATAAGAAGTAATTAATTTTAAATGTAGAAACAAAAACAAACTAGTTTATAGGTCAAATAACCTCTTCCAAAGAATCAAAATTGTGATGAAGTCATCAATGAAATCTTTTTGTTGGTAAGATTTATCAAAATACATTTTTGACCAATATTAAAACTCAAGTTGGAAAATAGAGTTATTTGATGACGGTCACAATTATGATTGTAGTGTAATCAAATCGTAATAAACGTAATAAGTAATTTATTCTACGCTTTATGTGTATACGATTGTTTGCAGCAGATCAAATTGTGTGCTGCAATGTGACGGAAAAAGGAAAATCAACTTTATTATCTTAGATAAAAGACACAAAATTATAAGAGTAGTGGTGGTTGACGAGCTCGCCAATCGCGATTCGACTGTACTTACCATAGAGAAAGACTGCGATCCGAGGCGTAAATTAAATTGTCTACGGAATATCAAAAGCTGTTTGTCAGCGGTCCGCCTCCAAACTTGGCAGAATAACGGTAAACACAGAAACCGGTATGCGAACACTGGCTGATTTAGGTAACTTGTAATAAGCGTGCAAAGAGGTGGACCTATTACTAATCCTTGGGGTATCCTTTATCCCGCAGTGGACTCTGGTTGAACCGAACGAACTCTACTTCAAGTCTTAAAGCCTATCAGGACCTGAAGTTAAAGAATTTTGAATAACTATGCAAGACCAAGATTTGAAGTATCAAATAAGCAAATACATGCACTTGTGCATTGTGAATGTTCATTGTTGCATCAACGATACGTGATGTAAGGTTAGCGATTTTACGTAAACTAAATCTACAGCGCAATTTTTTTACCAATTCCTGCGTATTTGCCCAGAGTACCTATATTCCAATACTTGAGTATATCCTTTGGCATCCGACCAATTTTCCGAAAAGGATTAATAAGGAAATTGACTAGTCCACCTTCGGACCCAGAATTAAACCATCTAATGTAATTAGGCCGTTTAGACTGGCATATGCCTCTTTTAGCACCCAAGGATGTTCGGTTTAGTGGCGTTGGCCTCAAATGGCCTTTGCGACTCTACCGTCGAAGATTCAGGACAGATTCTTTAACTAACTTACAAATAACTTGTTTTAAGCTTTTGATAGATTCATTTAGTTCGTGTTTATTTAGTATGTTAAACTCAAAGGTTACACAATAGGCAACTCTGAAATTATAATAATCACTCTATAAATGACTGACCGATATTATCAACTATAGGCAATGTAATGCCAATTAAAAATAATCTCGATTAAATGACCATGAACCCGCGATATGGCGTAAAATATAGGAACATCATAAACCACTTCAAAAAACGAAATTTAATTTTCTTGATAAGAATAGTTCTCAGTTAAGTGAATAATTCAATACAATTGCCATCAGCGTCTCTTGTATTTGAGGTAGGTCTGCATCCGTAATTGGATGTCAATGGGCCAATAAAGATCCATTCATCTGATTCGATGTACCTACACCACGATAGTTTAATAAATGGACTAGATTTGAATATTGTATTTACGACATGTCAATTTACTGGCAAGTAATAGCGAAAGTTTGACTCACCCATCCTTCGACTTTGATACGATATATCTTGAAAACTATATGAAGATAGGAGACGGGTCAGACGGGGGCTATGAACAAACCGCTTTGGCAACAATGACGATAAAGTGTGGAATAGGGGTACAATAGCTTACCCCTTTTGTTTGTGTGACAATTCTTACTTAGCTTTCAAAATTTTCTTTCAAAGTGCCTTTGAATGGTTAGTTTCTTTAGCTTCAGGGAGTCTAGAGGTTATCCTCGTAAAATCCGTAATGTTCTGTAAGAAAATGTCCCCCTTTTCTTGCATTACTCAGTGATCTCTGCTCGGTAGACGTCTGTTTAAGCTTCAATCTGTATCCATTAATCTTCATCCCTCTAATAAGAAGAAATTCCTTTCATTTGCCTTACAGGCTACCCGCTATTATAAGTCTGTAGTGACAATTGCTTCAAGCCAGGGTCCCTTTGCGGCGTTTCCGGAGTACAAGTGGATAAGAACGGCGATCGTGACCAGCGCCAATTGGTATCACAATGACAGAACTCGAACGTTCGCAAGTCGCTACTGGAAGTACTTTGATCAATAACGGCAGTAGAATACCCTCTATTGAAGTGAATTATTCCAGAATCGAGTTTGGTTTCTTTGTTGAGGATCAGTTATTATTCCTGGTGAAGCTAATTTTTGATTGACAGTCGGTCTCGGAATTCGGGAATCCTCCCGGGATGTACAGGTGGTAGATTTCCAGGAAATACAGCATTTCTAGAACATGATTTGCCAATCGAGCAAGCTGAATGAAGCTCTGACCGCGACCTTGGTTTGTTTCGAGTTTAGCCTAAGACTTTTATGCCAGTTAAAATCATGCAATGATCGTTTGAACTAAGCCTCTCCGGGCGCGCCGTTCAACGCTTCGTTAACAACGAAACTGAAAATGGCTCTAGATTTGTAATTTTGATAAAGACAAGTTAGATTTCAAATAAAAACAAAAGATTTCGAAGTAAAATAAGCATTTTAGTTAAAATTAAAATTGTCCCTACCGGTAGCGGGGAATAATGTTGTGACAGGCCTTTGTTCAAACGATCATAGCAAATGTTGTGATAGGGATAGAGGCATGCAATTTTTGGTTTTACAAAGGTAATACGATCGAGAATAATACAAAGTAATAAAAACTACCTGTTATAGGGGCATTTTTTGGAGAAATTTATCAAATAACACTAATTTAAAAGCAGATTTTTTTCAAAAAGTATCGTTTTTTATTATTTGTTGGCATTTTCAGGGTATTTTATGTATTTTTAGTATCGTCTGTTATTTAGCATTATTACTGTTTTTATTTTATCAGGATATACCTCTTAGTTTCAAAGTTATTACGTTTTCTTTACAATAAGTAATTGGAAGAAAATAAAATTCTATAAAAAATTAAAAAAATCAAAAAACATTTTTGACCTCTTTTTTGAAAAAAATAGGTCTAGTTCACCTAATTTCATATGTACACTTTAACGTGGCTCACACTGTATAATACCTACAGATTTTTTTGGAAAGGGTCATAATAACCCTCAGCAATGACAAAACGTCAGAAGAACTAGAAGACTAAAAGGCAAAAATAAACATAACAGATAAACAATTAACAATTTCGCAAAGCAAAAGGCCACCCTCGCGTGTCATAAGGACACCTTCGGAATGCATATTCATAAACCCATCAACAAATTCGCAAATAGTTTCGATTAAATATGCTAAAATGTAAGTAGAGGCGCAATCGAAGAATTGGTTTCGCAATCGAATTGATCGGTAGGTCAAGGTGAACAGTTAATTATTTAAAGAGTACGAACGATGGAACATCAAGGGATACACTGTGGAACTTTACGGGTATTGTAATAGAGACGATTGTGCAGCGACAATGTGTAGCCTGATATGTATAGATAGACAGACATTTTTTGCAAAAATAAGTGGGAATATAAGTGTTACTTGTATGTAAATTTGGACATCGCAACGATAGTAAGTTTAATGTAAGCATTCATGTAACTAAATATTTAAGTCACTATTTATTTAATTTTGCGAAGCTGAAGCAAGTGATTTCCAATGTTTTTTTTGTGATTATAATTTACAATGTATGAAGCTTTAGACAAAGCAAAAATCAAATTAAAAAAATCATGTATTTGTATTCGAGGAATGAGGAAACATATTTTTAAAACTATTCATACAGGATGTCATAGGGGTAGGTCAGAGGTCAAGCTACCTCCCATAAGCTCCCATAGCAGGTTGATTCACCCATTATAAGACACCCTGTATAACGAATTGAAATTGGACATTAAGTGCGATCTCTTCCAGTCTCCAGACAACCCAGGAAGAGTACATATTGTTGTTAGCGCTAAAATGGGAAAACGGTGGTTCATAAATAAAATTCCGACTAATATTATAAATGCGAAAGTAACTGTCTGTCTGTCACGCTTTCGCCTTAACTACTAAGCCGGTTTTGATGAAATTTGGCATAGGCATAAGTTTAAGACGCTGGCGAAACCGCGGCCAAAAGCTAGTTTACTATAGTTTTTTTTACTTTTAACAGTATTATAAAAACTGTAAGGAGGTGTATAATTTTTAAACATGCAGGCAACATTACCAGTCTAGCTAGAGGTAATGATAGAAAATTAGCACTTGCACGAGATATCTCTGGCATCGGTAAAAACACTCGATTATAATGTGATGTAGGGTTATAGGCTCTGTCTGATAAAGCATTTTTAATCATCGACAAAAAATCGATTATAGTGATGTAATAGACGTAGAGTTATTATCAATATTATCACAGATTTTTTGTTATGTATCCGGCACCCATAGTATATTTGTTAATTATTTCCATGTGTTGCGGCTCAATCCGTCTATCAAGCGTCTCTAATACTTAATTGCATAACTTATAATTAAATAATCAATTAACTTCCTTTCCTAACTAAATCGTAATTTCTAATACATGTAATTGTTTGCTATTGCTTTGTCGCAGGCGTTTTTAAACTTCATACTATTTTGTACTGTCAAAATCACTTACCTTCCAGTCGCCGCGCGATACGCACTATTGTAATACATTTTCAAATAATACGAAATATTCATCAAACCTGAGTTTTATTGGCTCCGAATGTCAGCGAAGACACCATGCATTTGAATTTTTTCAATGCTCCTAGTAACTCTTTGTCGCATATTAAACCAGAAATTTACTTGTTTTAATATTTATTATTTTTTTGTCGCATATTAAAAAACAGTCTTAAATCTTAAAAAGTAGTTTAAGTCAAAGGTTAAGTTTATTTGTACAGTATTTTTATTTACTTCTTGTGCAGAAATCTAGAAGTATTTTAAAGCATTGTTTTAATGCTAAATACTTGCGACATCTAACTTATGCATTATGTACTTACAACACTGGCACATTTTTGTGGGGCTAACGGGAGTATTAGTTATTTGTGCAAATAACAAATTAATAATCTTTAACAAAAAAAAAATAGCACAAATTACACTTTACATAGGATGCAAACAACTATTAAAGTATTATGCAAACAAATCATCTGTCTGTAACTAGTAACGTTATTTAATTAATTATCGGGTTTCAAGTGAAGGCCTCCCCCAATACGCGCCATATTACCCTGTCTTAACTTGGATGCTACAAGCTTCCACCAGCAGCTTATTATCTTCCAAAAAATCATGGGTCTTTGTTTTTTATTATGGAACTTGTGCAGTACAAGTGATGTGTTACTGGCGAATATTTATCTTTAAAAGATAAGTTGGCAAAACTTATGGCGTCCAGTTCAAACAAATGCATAATCTTTCTATTGCACGCACCCTGTATATTGTAGGGTAGGTACCTACTTGAACTATTACATAATATTTAGATTGCACCCTGTATATTGTAGAGTAGGTACCTACTTGAACTATTACATAATATTTAATTTGCCAAAAAGAACATGATATTTTTAAGCAACGCGATGGTTTTTGGCGTTGTGCGAAATTTATTTTTTGCTTCTGTTTTACATCATTGCACAATTTTTTATCATCTTGGCTGCTGATTTAGTTTGTTATTGATATTTTTGCGCAGTATGCTGTTATTATTGTAGTTTTGTTTCTTTCACTATGCATTAGTCAGGAGTTCAGGACGTCATTTACATAGAGACGCAAACAGGAAATGTTAGCCAAATGACAATAGTTAGGTTTTTGGAGAAATGTTAATAAATAATGATTATGATCATACAGCTAGGCACAGAATAAGGCTGCGATTCCACCAGAGATAACAGATGTGCGAGGATGCGTAGCGAGGGATGTGTTTGCAAAGAACCAATAGAATCGCTTCATTTACTTCGCCTCGGTAAAGATGCTCTTGGCCTGTATCTCACCTGATGGTAAGTGATGATCAGGCCGAAGGTGGAAGCGAGCTTCACCCGGAATCCTCAACCACGGAGGAACTGGCTATCTTACCTCTAATTGCCGGAACACAACAATGCTGTTAACATTGTTGTTATGGCGACAAACTTAGGTAAGATGGTGGTAGCTAGCCAGGCGGACTTAGAACAAGCCCTACCACCAACCAAACCGAACAGAAAAATCTGCCCCCACTGGGAATCGAACCCGAGACCTCTGCGTCTGAAGCAGGTGGTCTTACCACTAGACCACAGAGACGGTTAAAACCTACTAATAATGTACTTCGTCAGTAAGCGACCAACAACGAGCTGGCGAAATGTACTGTGCTTCGTACATTATGACAAGATTTGTAAGCCTTCTTGTATTACGTATAATTTTTAAGTGTGACAGACCTCTTCCAAATCAAAATTTAAAGAAAGACACCAAGGTATTTATTTGTAAATCCTTGGACCTTGGTCTAAAACAATTTTGTCTCAGTAGTTAAAAAAATTACAATGTAGCTTATCTTCACTTCATTTACCTACCTTTTTATCTGTCAAGAGACCCAAAATTAACCTCCTTTCAATTAAAGTTACAGTTAAATAATAAATATCAACAAAAATATCTCAGGTCGGTCGTGTTTATTTTAGGAAAACATTTCACTACAG